AGTGGCATTAAGTCTTCCTCCTGCTAAGTGCTAAGACTTTAGGCATGCTGCACCATGCCCAGGGCTTTCTACTTTTCTTATGTGATCCACGGTGTAAGAAGAAAGGCAGCTGAATCCATACTTAATCACTTGAGCAAATTGCCGGAGGGTTTGTAAAGAGTTTTGTGCTGGTCTGCTTTGTTATAGAGGCAGAGAAGAAGCGTGAAGCCAAGCAACGAGCTAAGGAAGCTCAGGAACGGGAACTGAGGAAGCGGGAGAAGGCAGAAGAGAAGGAGCGTCGGAGAAAAGAGTATGATGCCCTTAAAACATCTAAGAAGGAGCAAGAGAAGAAGCCCAAGAAGGAAACAAATCAGGCTCCAAGTGAGTTTGCCCTTTTCTTCAAGGGTCCAGCAGAAGTGCAGCACACACTTGAGTTTTTAGGCATGGATGAGTGAGTGAGCCTACAGACCATAGCGAGACAAACTGTACTGTCAGGTCTGGGATAGCCTGGCAGGGCCTGAGAGTGCAGTTACAGGGAATGGAGGATTTACTGAGGAAGCTGGTACCTACACACTTCTGGGCCTGTGTCTTTATAAGCTGTGTCTTAGAGCATTCACAGAACAGGGAATCTCAACTAACTTTCTGTAGGATGAGGTTCCGAAGTCACTGAGATAGGCTAAGATTGCATGTAACCTGACTGGGGGACTTTTATTTTTCTGCCTGTTCTGGGGCTTGAACTGAGGGGCCCAGGTACTGTCCCTGAACTTTTTGCTCAAGGCTAGCACTCTACTACTTGAGCTTTCTTGGAAGTTAGAGACAAGAGTCGTGAGCACTTTCCTGCCTGAACTGGCTTTGAACCATGATTTTCAGATTTTAGTATGATATGAGCTGAGTAGTTTTTGTGTGTGTGTGTGTGTGTTCGTGTTTGTGTTCTGGCTTTTTTGGTGATTAATTAGATATAAGAATCATGGGGGCTGGGAAAGTGGCTCAGCAGTAGAGTGCTTACCTTGCATGCATGAGGCCCTGGGCTCAATTCCTTAGTACCACATAAGTAGAAAAAGCCGGAAATGGTGCTGTACTTAAGTGGTAGAGTGCTCACCTTGAGCTGAAGGGCTAAGGGACAGTGGCCAGGCCCAGAGTTCAGGCCCCACGACTAGCCCACCCCCCAAAAAAAAGAATCTCATGGCCAGGCACTGGTGGCTTACGGCTGTAATCCTAGATACTCAGGAGGCTGAGATCTGAGGATTGCAGTTTAAAGCCAACTTGGACAGGAAAGTCTGTATGACTCTTTTATCTCCAATTAACCACTATAAAACCAGAAGTAGAGCTATGGCTCAAGTGACAGAATGCTAGCCTTGAGTGAAAGGGCTTAGTAAGTACATTGCCCGGGTGGTGAGTTCAAGCCCCATGACTGATAAACAATTTCATGGACTTTCCTGCCTGGGCTGACTTCAAACCACAGTCCTCAGATCTCAGCCTCCTAAGTAGCTAGGATAACAGGCATGAGGTACTGGTGCCCGGCTTGACTGGGTAGGACTGTTAAGTAGATGGTGTTGTCTCACATAAAGCCAGTAGTACTGTGATTTTATCCAAGTTGAAAGGAACTACGAACATCAGAGGAGTCATTTGGCATGCATCCAGGGAGCCACTGATCTAAAAGCACATTTAAGTATTGTGCCTACCTCTGTATTTTAGAATCATATACTCTGGATCAGAAGGGATCTCTGAAGAGTACAGATAGGGGAGAAAGGGAAGAAGCTTCTTGCGAAAGGTGGAGGCTTGTTCATCCTTGCCTTGATTAAGTCACCTTTTTAATTTTCTTGTTGAAAATGGGAATTATGCCTGATTTTAGTATAGGGTTAGAATTAAGAGAAAACAGGATCATGTTGTTCTTAGCATTGTAGGTGTTATCAAGTTTTAAAGAATTTTGCTTAAAAATCTCAAAACTTAGCCAGGGGCTGGAAAGGTGGCTCAGTGGTAGAGCACTTGCCTTGCATGCATGAGGCCCTGGGTTTGATTCCTCAGCACCACATAAGCAAAAAGAAAAAAGCCAGAAGTAGAATGTGGCTCAAGTGGTAGAGCATTTGCCTTGAGCTGAAGAGCTGAGGGACAGCGCCCAGGCCCAGAGTTCAGGCCCCACAACTGGGCACCCCCCCAAGGAAAAAAAAAACAACAAAAAAAACTTAGCCAGGTGCTGGCGGCTCACACCTGTAATCCTAGCTACTCAGGAGGCTGAGATTGCAGTTCAAAGCCAGACTGGGCAGTAAAGTCCATGAGACTCATCTCCAGTTAACCATCAGAAAACCAAAAGTGGAGCCATGGTTCAAAGTGGTAGAGCGCTAACCTTGAGCAAAAGAGCTCAGGCCCGGAGTTCAAATCCCACAACCAACAAAAAAAAAACCCTCAAAACTTTTTTTTGATTATAAACCCAGTCTATGTTTATTGCAAAGGATTTAAAATACATGTATCATATATCCTAGTATTAGTTATGTGTCCTCCATTCCCAGTAATAATTGATGTTTACAATGTGATATATTAACTTCAAGGTTTGTTTTTCTTTGGAGGAGGCCCTTGAACTCAACAATCACTTTACCTCTGCCTCCCAATTGCTGGGAATAATTAGTTATAATGCTACCACACTTGGCCAAGTTTTCTTTTTATACATATAATAGATGATGTTTATGATATTAGTAAAGCTAGGCCGTTTCCCCAGTAGGCAGCAGTCTGTCCTTGTTATATGCTTCTGATAAGCTCCTCTTGCTTCAGTCCTGAGGGATCCAGATCATCCTTGTTACCAAGAAGAACTTAAGACCCTGGAGACTGAGCTACAGTAGACATGGAAAATGAGTTTCCATTTCAAATACAGTCCCTTGAGACCTTGGAGAGATTGTTTCAGTCTCTGGGAAAGTAAAGTTTTAAGAGCTCTGACATTCCTAAAGCAATTTTTTGTTTAGAGCTTGAGGAGGGGAAGTAGGTCATGTAGAAGAGACATAGATTATAGTTTTCTCAAATGGATCCAATTTGTTTTGCCAACTTTGACTTTCTTTCTCTCTAGAATCTAAGTCTGGGTCCCGCCCCCGCAAACCACCACCCCGGAAGCATACTCGGTCCTGGGCAGTGCTGAAGCTGCTGCTACTGCTGCTGCTGCTGTGTGTGGCAGGTGGGGTAGTTGCATGCCGGGTGACAGGGCTGCAGCAGCAGCCCCTCTGCACCAGTGTAAACACCATCTACGACAATGCTGTCCAGGGCCTGCGCCGCCATGAGATCCTGCAGTGGGTCCTCCAGACCGACTCCCAGCAGTGAGCTTGTCCTCCACACCTGCTGCCTCCTGGCCTTGGAGCTTGGATTCCTCTGGAATTGGGTTCTGCTGGACACAGCCTCTTTTTAGCATCAGACCTACCTGCCATCACCCAATGGCTGCTGAGTGGCACCTGCCCTGTGTAAGACTCCTTTATTCCTTAGTCAGGATTCTCTGGTGGAATGAGGAGAAATGGGAGGTGGGAAGGGACAGTTAACCTGCATGCCTAAAGGAATAGGCTTAGTGCTGGGGAGAAAACAGAACCTTTTGTAGGTATACTAAGCTGTGTAAAGGCAAGGTTTATTTCTACTCAGTGGTCAGCTGTCATTTATACTTTTGTATGTCACAGACTCTTTCATTTTTCCTGGGTTTACTAGGGCAGATCAGGAAGCAGTGTGTTACTGGGGACAAGAGGAACATATTAGCAAACCCAACCTAAATTGGGGGATACCAGTTAGGACCTCAGACATTCAAGCATTTTAGCTGCCATACAAAAATCTGGCTATGAAAAGGACTTCACTGTTAGTTCCATGTAACACTTGCAGGCAGAGAAACTGAGGCCTTCCCTGACTTGCCTGTGGTCTCCTCAGCTAGACTGAGGCAGAACCCAACTCCTACTCCTGTATTCTTTCCTTCCTCCCTGCCATTTGACCTCCTTTGTATCCATAAGAACAGAATTCGCATCAGAATTATGTTTTAGCCAATATATAGAATCAGTAGACAGATGCATGACACAGAGATCTCCTGCTGTCAGATCAGGGTCTTGGGCCGCTTCTGTGGCATCCTGCCACAGACTTTGTGGCTTCACAAAATGGCAGCTGGCCTGGCTCCTTGTCTGTCTTAGAGCATTAACTCCCTGATTGCCAGTTAGTAAGGAGGCAGGTCTCTGCAAAGCTGCATTGCTTGTGACCACGCCATCTTACTTGGTGTGACTAAATACCTCAAAGGCAGCCTGAAAATGCAATTTCATAGAAACAGATTTAGAACTGCTCAGTCCTAGATCTGCAACAGAAAGGAAGGAATGAAACAGTAACTCATGAAGCAGAAAAGTACTGCATAACTGAAGAGTAGCACAAATGAGGTAGCTGCCTATTCTCCTGGCTGCTACACTAAGCATTCTCTTGCCACAATAGCTGGATGAAGGGATCAGAAGTGACCATGTCTCGGTGCTCATTGCTAGAAACTCCCAGTTTCAAGCTCCTCCCTGGAGAGAGTAAGGACCTGTCAGTTAAGACAGAGGGCAGGGTCCAGCTTTTAGCCCTAATGGCCCATCTGGATTGGTCTGCTATGACAACTGTCTGATACTGGAAGAAAGGACTTTGTTCTCTCCTCCTGCAACCATAGCTCTGCCACGTAGGTCTGTACCTTTCTCAGAATCACTACACATTCTTTTAGTCTTACTCTAAGCTCCAGAGCCATTGATACAAACGCTTTATTAAAACTAAACACGTAGTACATATGATGAGATTAATGCAGAATTCATCCTAGTGTCATAGTTCCTTGGCTGGTTGAGGCAGCTCAGTGGCTGAACCTAGTCAGGCCAACCTGCAGGTGAGAGTTCACTCTGACTTTTGAGATTTGATGCTGATTGTTTTGGATTTCTACAATTATTAAATCTACGTCTGAGTGGTCTGTCTTTGCCCTTTTGTGTTTTGAGAGCTGGTGGGCAGGATGGTTTGTCCATGGCACTGATTTTTGCTAGAAGAGGAACAGAACTGGTGAAGAAAACACCAGGTATCACCCAGGCTTGTGCCCAGCAGGTACTTCAGGTCCATTGCTGTTGGGTTTCCAGGCTGGGGAGAGGCAGAGCTCCAGCCTTCCTCCTGTCCGGGTGGGCTAGCATCAATCAGTACTGTCTAAGGAGAGGTCTGGCTGTAGAGTGGTCATCTGAAGGTAGATGCGCCGGGACAGCTCTGGCCCAACACGGCGGGAGGTGGAAGTCACACCTTCCCCACGGCGCACCTGGATATCTGCCAGCAGATTCTGGCGTTCTTGATCTGAACAACACCGCTGATAAGCCTGAAAATGGTAAATGATTTCTTTATACTACACCATCCATGGTCATCACTTGTCCATGAACCAGGAAGTTGGCATGCTTGGGATGAAAACCTATTCTCCCCACCCAAGTCGTCCAACACATACTGCTCACCTTCAAGACATTCTTGGGCCCTCAACAACATGAAGTCATCTGGTCCTACTGAATACAAAAGAAGCTGGGGGGTGGCGACCCCTAAAGCAGCATACCTGCACCAGGAGTCGTGGGGATGGATAAGCATCTACAATGGCACTGGCCATTTCCAGGCTGACTCGGTTCAGCTGCTGAATCTGCCTCCTCCACACCAGTGTGAGTCCTCTGCCAGCACGGTCCACCTTCACCCCTCCAGCCCAGTCGCTCTCCAGGCAGAAGGAGAAGCTAGTTTGATCTCTAAGCTTCCTGCAAACAGCCCAGGTGAACTAGGTTATTTGTTACTCTGACAATTGTCTCCTCAACGGGAGATTGAAAAGCCTATAGTTAGGTCTAGCCAATTTGAGTCTTGAGTGATTTATTTATTTTTAGCCAAGTACACTGTTAGTTACAACTGCCTTAAAAATGACATCTTGAGCGGGGCACTGGTCATGCCTATAATCCTAGCTACTCAGGGGGCTGAGTAGCCAGGCCAGGAAGGAAAGTCATGAGACTCATCTCCAATTAAGCACCAGGAAGCCAGAAGTGGAGCTGCGGCTCAAGTGGCAAAGCACTAGCCTTGAGCTAAAAAGCTCAGGGGCAGGGCCCAGGCTCTGAGTTCAAACCACAGGACTAGCACACATACATACACACAAACTTGGGCTGAGGGTGTAGCACAATGGTAGATCGCTTGCTTAGCAGGCACAAAGCCATGGGTTCCATCCCCAGCACCACAGAAACAACCGAATGGTCAGGTATTATCTTGTCCTTCATTAGAAGGTACCAGATTCTTTTGCTTATGTTGAGAGTGGTATTGCTCAAGGGACTGGGTATCCGGTGATTTGGAGTTTTCTGGTCCACACTTGCTAATTAGAGCCTAGACCTCTCAGTCTCTTCCAGTTTCACATATAAAATATGGGACTTGAAGAAGACTGTCTCTGAGGATTCTTAACTTTAAATTCAGACTAGGAAAACTCCTTGAACTAAGTAGACTACAGTTTTGCCTTGCTAGGGCTTGTTAGTGATCTAACCAATAGAGAATCCTGGTAACAAGGCATCACCTACAGAATGCATACCTGCACATAAGAGAATGTTTCAAAGGGACAGGACTTAAGTGTTCTTCCAGATAGCCTCACCATAACATTAGCTCCTACCTCCAAAGAGGCAATGGGCTAGCTGCAGAATTTAGGAGAACGGGTCATTTTCTTTGTCTAAAAGAACCAGGGGAAAAGACCAGACTCAGCAGAGAGGCTGGTCATACTGGGACACTCACTTGAACGGCGCCTCAGCCACAGCTTTTGTGAACGTGCAGGCCAAGTCAGATAGCTCTTTCCAACTCTGTACAATCCGAGCCTGGGCTTCTGTGTAGAGTTGCAGATCCACCAATGCCTAGAAACCCCGAGGCAACAATGGGTTAGAAAAGTAGAGACTAGTTCACTGTCCACTGTGGCTTCACCCCAACTTCTCAGCTTCCTGTTTGGTCCCTTCTATTCAGGTTCAACACAGAAGCAAGCTGCTTCTAGAGGGCATTTTATTCTGACTCAGTAGGAAATCTGGTTAAATGACCAGTGTGCACCCAAAAGACTCAGGCCAAAGGAAGTTCTTACCTCTTCTATGTCTACCCTGGACACCATGGGCTTTGTGCTGGTCTCTCGTCTCTGTTGCTTCTTTTCTTTGGTCTGTTTATTTGCTACTCCCTGTATCCTTCTCCTTGGTGGTTTCTGAGTACTGGAGCAGGAGAGATAAAGCAAAGGACAGAAGCTTCAGGCTGAACTTGGACAGAAGAGGCACAAGAGTGGTTTGGTATATCCCACAGGGCTTGTCAGGGTTGCTGTCTTGCAGAAGATTAGTAGCTGGAGTGAATAAACTCACTCTTGTTGACTCAAAAGCTGTCCCTTTAGCACCTAAATGTCAGAGGAAGTTCAAACCTGAAGCACTTCTCCTGGTCCACAATCACCAGTGACAGTGCTTTTCCTACTGTCCTTGCTGTGATGTCAGTTACGAAGCCATGGAGGGTTTCCTTCTCTTTCTCAGCGCTGTTGGGAGTTCCCTGCACGGAGGGGCAGAAAGGGTATTACCACTTGCTCCCCAGTAAGAGGTGGGCATAGTTCCATGCCCAGCCCTATCCCTCTGGCCCTGCCCACCTGCTTTAAGTTGTAAACCAAAGACTCAAAAGTCTCTGCCGTGAGCAACACCAGGATTGTGGGCTCTTCTACCCACTCTTCTGTATCCTGCCAAAGGGCCCAGAGCACAGCACAATGAGAGAAGTCAACAAGGGTAAGGGTGCCACGAGTGGCCCAGGTGTTCCAGATGAAAAACTCCCCACCCAGCGTGCATCATCCTGTTCTTCTTGACTGACATCATAGTAACAAGAACCTGTTTCTTCCCAGTCTTCAACTGTTCAGTGGTGCATGGTATCTCAAGAGACATGGAAGAGATGATCACTAAGGCTGGGAAGACAGCTCAATGGTAGAGGGCTTGCCTAGTTTGCATAGGTCCTGGGCTTGATCTCCAGCCTCTCTCTCTGTCTCTCTCTTTCTCTGTCTCTCTCTCTCTCACATACACACACATATGAAGAGGATGAAAAAATTAGCAAGTTGAAAGATGTGAAGTAACTGCCAAGTTTTTTTTTTTTTTTTGTATGTATTTTTCCCTTGAGTTTGCTAGGCAGTCACTCCTAAACAGTACAGTTCCAGCCCAGCCTATTTTCTATGCATTGGAAAAAAAAGAAAAAGCCTCTGAGCTTCAAAGGGTTATATAAGGGTGTGGGGGAGAGGGGCTGCCACAATTTAGCATGTTCATCCAAGTGTCCAATGCTTCTTGATCGGTCATCCCTTCCACCATTCTCCTCACTCATTTCCCATTTCCCACTTTATCACCTATGTACATTGAGTATTCTGGCTATAGTTGTTCTATGCATTTTGAGTAGAGGAATGGAGGGAACAAATAACTCTGGCTCTTAATTCAGATGCTAAGATCTGGGTGGACCTTACAAATATATAGAAACCTTTGAGAAAGAAGAATCCCAGGAGAAACCTCCATCTGTGAGAGCACCTTCTCTTTCTTCATCAGAGCTAGAATGCAAAGCCTAGGCTGCTTCTGGGTCAAAGATCCTACAGCAGCACAATTTCATAGTGATTGGGAAGCAGGACTTCTTCCAGTTTTCTGATTTGGTCCCTACAAGCAAGAGCAAGACTCCCAATACAGCAAAGTATACTGGGAGCTCTGGTTCTAGTTTCAGCTGTGATCCTGAACCAGGCTGTTAAGGTCTCTGCACCTATTTCTCCACCTGTGACTTGTGGGGAATTCCTCCAGGATAACCACAGCTGAAACAAGGGATTGTGGTGATGCTTTGGGAGGATAAACAGTACTGTGAATACAAAGTTTGCTAACACCTGATGTAAATGTGGAAAAGCGTCATACTGAAAAAGTTATGAGATCCCTCCTCCCACTAGAGAGAGGGGTGGGGGAAAAAAAACATCTTAATGTTTCTTATCCTAACTGTGAAAATAAAGAGAACTTGGAGTCACAGATAGGTACTGGATAGGTACTGGAAGTGCACTAGCCTGGGAAGGCTGGGCAGGGTAGGGAAGGAAGAGGTTCCATGCGCTTACTAGGTGCTGGACCCCACTACAGGGACTAGACTGACAGGGATATAACACTGTCTCACACAAGGAAACAGACACCAAGACACGTGATGACTTGCCTGGAGTTGCTGCAATAAAGCCATGAGGCTGGGATCCAAACACAGCCCCCAATTCCTAAAGCCCAGTCAGAGAACTAGCCATCAGACACAGATGGATTATCTTCCTCTGACCTACTTGGTGCAAGGAGGCAATTGCTACAGATATTACACAGCCCTCATGTCCTCCACTTCCCAGCCATAAAGCTGAGTATGAGACTGGAGGGAAAGTGGAAAGTGAAATCCCTTCCCAATGGGGTTACTGTACATTTGCTACACTGCCCTACCCTAGGTCAAAGCTTCTCTGAAGGTGGTCCTCTCTAGTTCTTCTAGATTCTGCTAACTACTTCCTCCCTTCATCTCTTAGGGATTAACAGCTTTGCAGGTGGGTCTTAACCAAAGGCCATTTTCCCCCCATAAAGGACATATTTGTCACACCTGGGAGGGGCACTATTAGCATCCAATGGGTGAAAACCACAGATGCTGCTAAAATATTCTACTGTGTATAGGATGGTCTCTACCCCCCAGTCCCACTAGCTCCTAACAAAGAATTGCCTGATCTGAAATCTCACCAGTACTGAGTTAGAAAAGCCCTCACTTATGCTATCAAGATGCAGCTACTGTGCTGTCCCTTGTACCCTACCCACGCTTTGAAAAACAGTCCCTTTATTAAATCCTCCTCAAATTATCCAAAGTACCATCTGTTTTCCTGATGCAGCCCCAAATTTACATCTATATTCTTTAAAATAAAAGTCTATCCTGTAGCTCTAAAAAGTTGGGGGAGAACTATTGGCTAGAACTATGACCCCTACCTGAGACAGCCCTGCCCTTCTCCGCCATGTGATACTGCAAGGCACAGCCTGGGATTCAATCACACAGCAGCACTCCATGGACTGCAGTGCTCCGAGGAGCTGGCCCCCACCTTCCATCTGTAAAAGCACTGAAACAGATGGGAAAGGGCCTGTCAGTGGAGAGGTCCAGGAAGCAGAGAGATCAGCTCAGGGTGGAGACAGATATTAGGAGGACCTGGATCCAGCACCACAATGATGTGTTTCAAGCATTCCTCTGGCCTCAAAGCTTTCAGCTTGTCAGCTGGTGCTGCCTTCTTTCTTTCTGGTTGTCTCAGGGTGCTTTCTTTGCAGCTTGCTTGTTTCTGTGGCTGGCATCTCTGAGACCCTGTTTTCTGAACCTTCTGACTACTCTTGGTTCTCTTTTGAGGTGGGAAGGTGTCAGAATTCATTTCAGTTTCTGCCAACCTGTTGCTCTGGACAAGACAGGTAGATTGGTAGCCTAGGAGCTGATGACAGGGACTGTCTAAAATAGGGTCTTGGTTATCTGTTGCTCTCTTTGAGGTATTATGGAGAGGAACATCAGGGATCTTTAGAAATGGCTGCTTTTTCTGGTCATTTTGTTGATCCAAAACAGTTTTAATTGGGAAGCTGGAGTCCTCAGTGCTTGACTGCTTGTGTGCCAAAAATTTACAGGTTAGTCTTTCAGCCAGAGGCATAATTTCCTCTTCAGACTCACTATCACTGCTTAGCACTCTGATGGGCTTTGTTTGTGTGAATGTTTCATTTGTGTCTGGGAAACGTGGTAGATCTTTCAACTCTGGCGATGGAGGAGGAGACGCCTCAGAATCTGAAGTCTCAACCACTACAATCTTCTCCACTCTGTCAGTCTGACTCCTCTTTGTTAAAGGTGGTACTTTTTTCAGAAAGGAAAATGTTGGCAACTCGTCAGAATCACTCTCTGTGGAAGCCATTGAGAGGGATGACTGTAATAGAGTCATCAATATGTGCTATCAAATTAGTTGCCTAAAAGGAAGAGAGATGAGACACAGAGGATAACATTCATGTTTTCTTATAGCCAAGCTTTATAAAGATAAATATGACATGTAGAGAATTAGAGAAATAAAGGCTGGGGGCCTGGCTCCATGGTTGCAGTAGCCTGTCAGGCTCAAGGCCCTGAGTTCAAACCCAATGCTACAAACTAAGGGGTGGGGGCAGGGACTGGAGAAACAGGAAATACATGACTGAATATAGTAGTCTAGTCTAACTAGTAGTCTACTCTAGATGCCTATTCAAATCCTAAGTCAAGATAAGGTATAAACAAAGTAGAATTGTTATTAGAAAACTTAAATATTTTTTGTGTGTCTGTGTGTGTCAGTACTGGGGCATGAATTCAGGGCCTGATTGCTTTCTCTTAGGTTTTTCAAAATCAAGGCTGGCAATCTGCCAGCTTGTGTTACAACTCCACTTCCACCTTTTTGCTAATTTCTTTACATCTCAGCCTCCAGAGTAGCTAGGATTACAGGCATGAGCCACTAACACTTGGCTAGAAATATAAAATTTAAAAGTCACCTTTTGAAAGGTGAGAGTGATGAGGTGACATGATTGACACACTTTAAATGTATGTTATGAAAACAGAATAATGTAAATATTTTTTTTTTTTTGGGTCCAGTTGTGGGGCCTGAACTCTGGGCCTGGGCACTGTCCCTCAGCTCTTCAGCTCAAGGCTAGTGCTCTACCACTTGAGCCACAGCGCCACTTCCGGCTTTTTTCTTTTTTCTTAGTGGTGCTGAGGAATCGAACCCAGGGCCTCAGGCATGCAAGGCAAGCGCTACTGAGCCACCTTCCCAGCCCCCAATACTGTAAAATTTATTAAAAACTTTTTTTTTCTACAAAAGGTGGGGAGAAGGAAAGAAAGACTGATTGATGGGGTGAATTTGGCCAAAACACTTTAGAAGCCTGTTAAGACATCTCACAATGAAACGCCTTTATACAATTAACATGAGCCAATACAAATCTTGTTTTTCAAATTCACATAAATTCACATAATGTTTATCATTTAAAAAACCGACAGTTAGCTGGGTGCTGGTGGCTTACACCCATAATCCTAGCTCTCAGGAGGCTGAAATCTGAGGATCACAGTGACCAGCTTGAGCAGGAAAAGTCTGTGAGACTTTTGTCAGTGTGGGGCTTGAACTTTGGGGCCTGGGCACTGTCCCTGAGCTCTTCAGCTCAAGGCTAGCGCTCTACCACTTGAGCCACAGCACCACTCCCGGTTTTCTGGTGGTTTATTGGAGGTAAGAGTCTGACGGACTTTCTTGCCCAAGGTGGCTTTGAACCTCAATCCTCAGATCTCAGCCCCCTGAGTAGCCAGGATTACAGGCATAAGCCACTGGCACCCTGCTTTCTGTGAGACTCTTATCTCCAATTAACCACCAGAAAACTGGAATTGGCCCTGTGGCTCAAGTGGTAGAGCACTAGCCTTGAGCTGAAGAGCTCAGGGACAGTGCCCAGGCTGAGTTCATGTCCCATGACCAACAACAAAAAAAGACCTTATAGCTAAGTGTCTAGGGGTATATCTTAGTGGTGGAGTGCTTGATTAGTATGCACAGGACTACAGATTCAATCCCCACACAAACAAAAACAAAAAAAATACTGTTTGGTGAGTTTTAGTATATTCAATGTTGTGTAAGTAACTATTACCACTAATTCCAGAACATTTTTATCACTTCAATAAGAAACCCTACAGCCAGTAGTCATTGCCCATTCCTCCTCTTCTCTGCAACTAAACATCTATTGCCTATTCTGGATATTTAATGTAAACATAATTATACATTATATATATATATGTATTTCATGTAAACACAATTATACACTATGTGGTTTTTTATGCCTAGCTTCATGTTTTTCAATGTTCATCTGGGTTGCAGCAGCAGCATGCACTACTACCTTTTTGTTATTCCCAGGTGGATAAAATATTCTCTTGCATGGCTATGCCACATTTCATTTATCCATCCATCACTTGTTATTTGGTTTTCTTCCATTTTTTTAACTATATGGATAATGTTATTGTGAACATTCAGGTACAAGCTTTTGAGTGGGCACATTTTCACAATTCTCTGGTGTAAATGCGGAGGACTGGAATTGCTGGGTCATACCAAGGATGATCATTTCTTTGGTACTGTGGGTGTGGCCCTGGTAAGCCACCTAACCTTTCCGGGCTAAAGAAAAACCTTCAGTTTCATTAGTCCAATACCCACTCCAGGTCTGTGAGAATTAACAATAACGCATCGGCTGCGCCGGGCACCGAGTACGGCACACCGTTATCCGGCCGAGCAGCGTGCAAGGGAACCCGACCCCACGCTGGGCCTCCGCGGGCGCCAGCAAAGCCAGGCTGAAGCAAACCGCCGACAGCCACGCTCCACGCTTCGGAGGCCGGCGATCCGGTGCCTAAGTCCCGGGACGCCCCGCCACCAAGCCCCGGCGCACCGCGGCTCCAAACAGCGGCCTCCACCCGGGCAGGGCCACGGTGCACAGCGCTCACCTGCAGCTTCTCCCGCCACTCTTTCAACAGCCACGCACGCCCCGGAAGTAGATCTCCCGGCAGCGGAAGTACACTTCCAAACAGGACGCGAGGGTCGGCCAAACATGGCGTCGGCTGTGCTGGCGCTGCGGACGCGAGCCGCTGGTAACCGGACGCCGTAGCAATTACGGGGCGAACTAGTAGAGAGGCAGGATTGGGGGTGTGGGTGGGAGCTGGTCCCAGTGGGAGGGCGTGGACGAGCGGGGTTTGAAGGGCGCTGGGGCTGAGCACGTGACGCGTCCTGCGCGGGGGGGGCGGGGTGGAGGGGGGCGGGGCGGGGTGGAGGGAGGGGGCGGGGCGAGGGCGGGGCGGGCGGGGTGGAGGGGGGCGGGGCGGGTGGAGGGAGGGGGCGGGGCGAGGGCGGGGTGGAGGGGGGCGGGGCGAGGGCGGGGCGGGCGGGGTGGAGGGAGGGGGCGGGGCGGGGTGGAGGGAGGGGGCGGGGCGGGGTGGAGGGAGGGGGCGGGGCGGGGTGGAGGGAGGGGGCGGGGCGGGGCGGGGTGGAGGGAGGGGGGTCGGGTGGGGGTGGAGGGAGGGGGCGGGGCGGGGTTTCCCCGACTTCGGGGGGAGTCACTGCCGGCTTCCCTGGTGGCTGGGGCCCGAGCCTCGGTTTATGGGGATTCCTTCATCTATGTAGAAGACTTAACTTTTAACAGTTAATTCATTTAACATATTTAAGACGGACTTTGGGCCAATCCTGCAGACTTCTCTAACTCCTGGTCTGCTCTTTTCTGGGAAATTAGCTACATAAAAATAAAATAATGGGAAGTTACAAGTGCTGTGAAGAAGGAAAGGATGAGCCTGTGGCTCTTTCCGCTAAATGGTAAAAGAAGGGCTCTGAGGATATAATTGAGTTACAACTTAGAAAAGATTTTGGGAGGCCTAGCCCTGACCAGAGAGGGTAATCCAATCTTTACTTTTTGCTGGTCCTAGGGCTTGAACTCTGGACCTGGGTGCTGTTCCTGAGCTCCTTTTACTCAAGGCTAGCTCTCTACCATTTGTGCCACAGGACACTTCCAGCATTTCATGTGCTTAATTGGAGATAAGAGTCTCAAGGATTTTCCAGGCTGGTCTTGAACCCTGATCCTCAGATCTCAGCCCACTAAGTAGCTAGGATTACAGGCATGAGCCACTGGTGCATGGCCCAATATTACATTTTTTGAGAAGCAACCTGTTCTTTTTATAAATTTAAAAGGTGTTGGGAGGGGCTGGGAATGTGGCTTAGTGGTAGAGGGTTTGCCTAGCATGCATGAGGCCCTGGGTTTGATTCCTCAGTACAACATAAACAGAAAAAGGCAGAAGTGGTGCTGCAGCTCAAGTGGTAGAGTACTAGCCTTGAGCAAAAGAAGCTCAGGGACAGTGCCCAATCCTTGAGTTCAAGCTCCAGGCCTAGCTAAAAAAGGAGGGCGGGGGCTGGGAAGGTGGCTCAGTGGTAGAGCGCTTGCCTTGAATGCATGAGGCCCTGGGTTCGATTCCTCAGCACCACATAAGCAAAAAGAAAAAAAGCCAGAAGTGGTGCTGTGGCTCAAGTGGTTGAGCGCTAGCTTTGAGCTGAAGAGCTGAGGGACAGCGCCCAGGCCCAGAGTTTAGGCCCCACGACCGGACCCCCCCCCCCCAACAAAAAAGGAGGGGCGGGAACAGGCTTGGGGTAGAGTGGCTGTTAGTGGTAGAGTGCCTGTTAGTATGCAGAAAGCCCTGGGTTCCATCCCCAGAAGTGCAGAATGAGTGAATAAATATATAAATGCATGAAACCAGATGGAAAACCTAATTTTTGCATAGCAGCTGGTTAAATCATCCACACTGAGGGGAACTATGGGGAGGAGGAAGGTAAGGTAGGAAAATCAAAGTCCCAAGCACTCATTCATAAGTGAATGAATAGATGTTTAAAGGTAGGTAGGGCTGGACGCTGGTGGCTCACGCCTAAAATCCTAGCCACTCAGGAGGCTGAGATCTGGGGAATCCCAGTTCAAAACCAGCCTGGGCATGAAAGTCCGTGAGACTCTTATCTCCAATAAACCACTCAGAAAACCAGAAGTGGCACTGTGGCTCAAGTGGTAAAGCGCTCACCTTGAGCTGAAGAGGGCAGGGACAGTGCCCAAGCCCAGAGTTCAAGCTCCACAACCAACAAAAAAGAATAAAAAGAAAAAAAGGGTAGGTAGGTCCTGGTGCTGAACGTTTAATAATTTGTGTGTGTGTGTGTACCCATCCCAGTACTACAACTTGAACTCACTCAGAGCCATATTTTTCTTTCCTTCCTTCCTTCCTTCCTTCCTTCCTTCCTTCCTTTCCTCCCTCCCTCCCTCCCTCTCTCTTTCTCTCTTTCTCTCTCTCTCTCTTTCTCTCTTTCCTTTGCCAGTCCTGGGGCTTGAACTCAGTGCCTGGGCGCTGTCCCTGAGCTTCTTTTGCTCAAAGCTAGCACTTTACCACTTGAGCCACAGCACCACATCCGGCTTTTTCTTTTCTTTTTTTTTTGGGGGGGGGGTCCAGTTGTGGGGCCTGAACTCTGGGCCTGGGCACTGTCCCTCAGCTCTTCAGATCAAGACTAGTGCTCTACCACTTGAGCCACAGTGCCACTTCCGGCTTTTTTCTATTTTCTTATGTGGTGCTGAGGAATCGAACCCAGGGCCTCATGCATTCAAGGCAAGCGCTCTACCACTGAGCCACCTTCCCAGCCCCTCCGGCTTTTTCTGTGTATGTGATACTGAGGAATTGAACCCAGGGCTTCATGAATGCTAAAGAAGCACTCTACCAGTAAGCCACATTCCCAGCCCAGATCCTTATATTCTTACATAGCTTTTTGGCTTAAAGCTAGTGTTCTACCACTTGAGCCACACTTCTATTGGTTAATTCTACTGTTTTCTACTGATTAATTGGAGATAAAAATCTTGGGGATTTTTCTGCCCTTAGCTAGCTTTGAACTGAAGTCTTCAGATCTCAGCCTCCTGAGTTGCTAGGATTAAAGATATGAGCTACTACTGGTGCTTGGGTTCTTTGTAAGGTATCTCTGGTCCTTTGTTACAACCAGTTTGTGTTCTGATGAAAACTTGAGAAACCCATGCAATGGGAATTCTGAATTTAGGCTTCCGACACCTTCAAAGCCTCTCTAAAGACCCTGGTCCACAAGCCATCTCTGTTAAGTGTTCTGCTTCCATGTTAGCAAATGTTGTAGTTCATTTTCCTTTTCAAATAAATGTTGAGCCAGGTTCTAGAGAAGAAGGACTTCCACATTTTTTGTCTCCCTTGCCACCTGTAAATTTAGCCTAAGGTCTGTAGAGAGGTCAAGAATATATTTAGGGGCCTGTGTGAACACAGTCTCTATTTTCTTGGTAGTTACAGCTCTGGTTAGTTCCAGTCCAACTACAGTTCTTGCTGTTAGATATGCGTCCAAGAAGACAGGTGGTAGCTCCAAAAACCTGGGTGGAAAATCACCAGGCAAACGCTTTGGCATCAAGAAAATGGAAGGTGAGTATGTGCGTCAGCTGCCCCCTGCCCTGCCCCTACTCTGTCTCTCTGTCTCTCTGTTTCTCTTTCTCTCTCTTTCTCTTTTTCCCTCTCTTTCCCTTCCCTCCCCTTCCTTCCCCTCCCTCCCTCTCTCTCTCCCTCCCTCCCTCTCTCCCTCCCTCCCTCCCTCCTTCCCTCCCTCCTTCCCTCCCTCCTTCCCTCTCTCTCTCTCTCTTTCTTCCTTTCTTTCCTTCTTTCTTTCTGCCAGTCCTGGGGCTTGAACTCAGGGCCTGGGCACTGTCCCTGAGCTTGTTTTTGCTCAAGGCTAGCACTCTACCACTTAAGCCACAGTGCCACTTCTGGCTCTTTTTTCTGTTTGTCTGGTACTGAGGAATCACACCCAGGGTTTCATGCATGCTAGGCCCAGACCTGCTCCTACTATTTTTTAGAAGAGCTAGAGAACAATGAAAGTGTTACCTGGGCTGGTTTCTCCATGTAGTACCTGGCTCTATATTGAAGGGGCATTAAGCCCCGAGAGGTGTGAGAGTACCTGAGGAGGAGTGAGCCATAGTTAGGGAAGAGGTCCGAGATGAGATTCGGGTGTTGCTTGTTACACAATCACAGAATTGTTATTGACCAGGAGCAGGCTTAGAGGTTGTATGTAGCACTTGGACATGTTTTCTTAGCATTTGGACATGTTTTCTTAGCAGTAGGCTGTGTAGCTATAATCTGGGCTCAGCATACCTGTGGTTTTTTCTTCTAGGTCACTATGTTCATGCTGGCAATATCATTGGGACTCAGCGCCATTTCCGCTGGCACCCAGGTGCTCATGTGAGTTTTGCTCTGTGACCCCCCCCTTGTCTCTTTTCTAGAACAACCTTTTCATACTTTTAAGCATAGTAATAATAGAAACAGTTGCAGTTATTAGGTGATTACCATATGCCAAGCATTGTGCTAAATGCTATTTCTGCTTTATCTCATTACCACATCCCTGTGAGGTGTCATCTGCACTTCACAGGTAAAACACTAGAGACTTAAGAGAGTTGCAGGGCCCAAATAATAGCTGAGATTTAGATCATTGCACATCGTATGACCATTTTTCTCTTCATTGGGAAATGGAGGTAGGTTGAATAATGTACATGTGGGGCAACTGCAGCTGCTTGAGGATTAAGAAGCAATATGTTGAAGTTATAGTGAACTACCAAAATGCTATGTATTTTTCAGTGTTTTTATTAATCCATTTTGTCAGATTTGTCTACTTGGGCTGGCTTTGAGCCACAGTTTTCAGATCTCAGCCTCCTGAGTAGATAGGATTATAGGCATAAGTCAGTGGCTCCCAGCTAATCAATAATTTTAATAAAATAAGCATCCTCCCCTCTTTTTTTTTTTTTTTTTAAATTGTCCCTGAGCTGCTTTTTTGCTCAAGGATAGCATTCTAGCCCTTGAGCCACAGCTCTGCTTCTTTTTGCTAGTCAATTGGGGGTAAGAGTCTCTTAGACTTCTTTGCCTTGGCTGGTTTTGAACTGCAGTCCTCAGATCTAAGCTTCTGAGTAGCTAGGATTACAGATGTGAGCCACTAGTACTTGGCCAGCATTTCCCTTTTTATAACTCAAAAGGAATTTTTAAATTCTATTAGAATTTGAATGCAATAAAATGCATTAAATTGCAATAAAATGTAATAAATTCTTCTACTAAAATTAACAACAAAAACAGATTTTGGTCTGTCTGTATATATATAATATATATAAAAATATATTTTTTTAATATATATTCTACCTTTAGTGTAATGTTAGCCCTCTGTTTTTACCTTTCCTTTCTCTCAGTTCTTGGAGGATGAGATGTAACTTCAGAAATTCTTTTGAGTCTTGAGAAAATAACTGTAATATACTTACTTTTCATTGTTTCTAAGAGTTTTTCTTTTGCATAATTTTTTTAGTTGGTTGAAAGGTAGCGTGAGGTTAATAACATTTTGTGTGTGCATCAGAAGTAAGCCCCAGACAGGCATGGTAGCTCATACTTATAGTCCCAACATTGGGAGGCAGAGGTTGAAGGGTTGAAGGATCAAGCATTCCAGGTGTAGCTGGACCCTGGTGGCTCATGTCTATAGTTATTCAGGAGGCTAAGATCTGAAGTATAACAGAAGCCAGCTAGGGCCAACCTAGAAGCATAGCTCAAGTGATAGAATTCCAGCCAAGCAAGCATAAAGCCCTGAGTTCAAACCCCAGTACTGACAAGAAACAAAAGAAAGGAAAGTCAGCCTAGCATACATAGTATCACAACCTTATTTTTTTTATTTCATTTTTTTTTTTTGTCATGAGTCTTGAACTCTGGGCCTGGGCACTGCCTCTCAGCTCTTCAGCTCAAGGCTAGCGCTCTACCTCTTGAGCCACAGTGCCACTTCTGGTTTTCTGAGTGGTTTATTGGAGATATGAGTCTCATGGACTTTCCTGCCCGGGGTGAACTGTGATCCTCAGATCTCAGCCTCCAGAGCAGCTAGGATGACAGGCATCAGCCACCCATGCCTGGCTAACTTTATCTTTTAAAAAAAATTGTTATTAAATAGTTGTACAAAGGATGCCTAATTCCCTACGTCAGGTTATGAGTATAGTGCTCCTTTGTTAGTGTCACTCCTTTGTCCTCCCCCACCCTCCCATCCCTACTCAAGACCTTATCTTTTTTTTTTTTTTTTGGGTCTGGTCGTGGGGCCTGAACTCTGGGCCTGGGCGCTGTCCCTCAGCTCTTCAGCTCAAGGCTAGCACTCTACCACTTGAGCCACAGCACCCACTTCCGGCTTTTTTCTTTTTGCTTATGTGGTACTGAGGAATCGAACCCAGGGCCTTGACATGCAAGGCAAGAGCTCTACCAATGAGCCACCTTCCCAGCCTCAATACCTTATCTTAAAAAAAATTTTTTAATTAAGAATTAGAGCTCAGCTGGGCGCTGGTGGCTCACGCCTGTAATCCTAGCTACACAGGAGGCTGAGATCTGAGGATTGAGGTTCTAAGCCAGCCCAAGCAGGAAAGCCCGTGAGACTCTTATATCTAATAAACCACCAGAAAACCAGAAGTGATGCTGTGGCTCAAGTGGTAGAGTGCTGACCTTGTGCTTGAAGAGCTCAGGGACAGCACCCAGGCCCAGAGTTCAAGCCCCATGACCAAAAAAAGAAAAAAGAAAAAAAAGTAGAGCTCTATAAGATAGAGATTTCTTCATAAGGTAAAGAAGTTCTTCGTTAAAACAGAACTGTCTTCTTCATAGTAAGTACTAGTTTTGTTTTTTTCCTTTCAAAAGACACCTACCCTTCCCTTTTGTAACCAGCTTTCGCCCCCTCATTTGGTAATTTTTTTTCTCTGTACTGGGAATCAAAAACCCAGAGCCTTCACTCATGCCAGGCAAGTGCTCTCATTAAGTAGCACTCACCATGTCCAAACTAGTTTTTGGCAATTTAATAAAGAAGGACTACTATAACTTATAATTATTTCAAAGAAGCTAATTGGATACAAACTGATTATATATGTGACGTTGGACATGTGATCCAAAGTTTACTGAAATAATAGCATAAGCTAACGAATTTTGAGCTAAGTAGTATTCTAAGATCTTTATGATTGCTATTAATCTTTAAGAGGACCCTATAAAAGTATTGTCCCCATTTGTAGATGAAAAAACAAAACAAAAAAAATCCCTAGCTGGGTGCTAGTGGCTCATGCCTATTTTCCTAGCCACTCAAGAGGCTGAGATCTGAGGATCACGGTGCAGAGCCAGCTCGGGCAAGAAAGTCTGTGAGACTCTTATCTCCAATTAACCACCAGAAAACTGGAAGTGGTACTCTGGCTTAAATTGGTAGAGTGTTAGCCTTGAACAGAATAGTTAAAGGCCAGTATCCAGGCCCTGAGACCTACTAGAAAAAAAAAAAAATCCCTAGTGCTGGGATTACAGATGTGTGTAAACCTGGCTTTAAGTCTAAAAGCATGTTTCTAGGGACTATGGATTGGCAGCATCCTCCTGTGCCTGGTTTTAGAAGCTGTCCAGTGTGGCTCTGACCAGCTGCAGAGACATGACTACATGTCTCTATCCCTCTGGGATGTTCTATCCCTCTGGGATAGAACAGCCACCTGGATTGTTTTCTTTTTCGCTCTCTGTTATGGAGTCAGTAAATAAATAGAAGCAAAGAAGTGCCAAACAGTGGGAAAAGGAACCTGAGATGGTGATCTCTACCTCTCCTTCTGCCCCAGATCCTGCATCTGAGGACAAAGTTGGAGGTTCTGGGATGGACCACTTGTCTCTCCAGCTAACCAGGTCTGTGTTACAGGTAGGGCTGGGGAAGAAGAAGTACCTGTATGCCCTGGAAGAAGGGATAGTCCGTTACACTAAAGAGGTGTATGTGCCCAACCCCAATGATTTGGAGGCTGTGGATATGGTCACCAGGCTACCCAAGGGTGCTGTGCTCTACAAGACTTTTGTCCACGTGGTTCCTGCCAAACCTGAGGGCACCTTCAAACTGGTAGACATGCTGTGAAGTTCTGGGGCCTTCGGACAGAGACTGGAATCCCGGTGACAGGAGAGAGTAACATCAGAAGTCCAAGGCCTCCAAGGAAGAGGTCTGCCGGATGGTGGCTGTGGGGGACTCTGCAGTGCAGGGAAACCCTAGGAGGTCTGAAGCTTAATAAAGCTGACTGGAGTCCCCAGTGTGCTTTGGGGACAAACCTGGGCTGCCTACTGCTTTGTTGGGTCTTATCCTCTTATGTACATCAAGGGGGTAAAGTGGGAAGGGGGCCTGTCAGTGAGGAAATGAGAAGTGGTTGTGTATAGCAGGTTGCTCTGGCACTGTCCCCTACAGGGAAGGAAGAGGAGAGTTGGTCTCTAGAGTGTCATTGCTTCTTCCTTCAAGGATCCCCTAAAAGTCCAGGGTCTGGTCTATGAGAGGAGGGGGCAATAGAGGAAGCAACACACCTATGTTCTTCACTGATACATGCAGAGGGAGCAGGCTGTACCTGCAAGGATAGCTACATGGTACCCCCCCCCCCCCCACCTGTGCAGGCTCAAGCAGCAGGCTCATGTAGCACCCACCTGATTGAAAATGAGGGTCTTTCCACTGGTGAGGTAGCAAATTGCCTCAGCTATGGCTGAGAAGTAAATGGCTTCTTCCAGCCCCTGAACAACTGGACATACTGAACCTACTTTCTTTTCTGGATCTTTTTTTTTTTTTTTCTGGTCCTGGGGCTTGAACTCAGGCTATACTGGAGCCTCTTTGTGATCAAGGCTCTACTACTTGAGCCACAGCACCACTTCCAGCTTTTTCTGAGTAATTTATTGGAAGTAAAAGTCTCACAGACTTTCCTGCCTGGGCTGACTTTGAACTGTGATCCTCAGATTTCAACCTCCTGAATAGCTGTGATTATAGGCGTGATTTACCAGCACCTGGCTTCTGGCTCTTGATTTATGATTTATTAAACCCCAAAGCTGGTGTTCAGTTCCAGTCCTTCTAAGGACTGCTCTATCTGCAGGCAGGGATTCCTGCCCATTGTATTTTGAAAATGTCACTCGTTTCAGTGTCATAAGCCTGTGTCCCTCTTCTCTTTCCTGAAGATTCTTGGCAATCATAGCTTTGGATATGTGCGGGTCACTTAGATGTCTTGCCTTTAGGGTCTCAGGTGCTTAGGCTTAGCTGAGTGGAGGTTCTTCCAGTCACCTGAGGAAAGAGAGGTAGGGGCAGGACAAGTGGTTACTCCCTCCTACCTAAGTGTCTTTCTGAGCAGGGCAGGGCTGCTCCTGAAATGGGAGAGGAGAGCGATGGTTGGGTAGTGATCCAGGCAGTGCTTCAGTCTCATAGCTTTGTGGCAGCTGTAGAGATTAGAGAGCCCCTCCCCCAGTGATAGGAAACAAGAGGTTCCTGGAGCCATCGGCTTCTTGGAAAGCCCCTTGCAGGAGCCCAATAGGCCTTCCTAGGCTAGGTTACACCTTCCCTATATACAAAGAGGTAAACTGGGGCCTTCACTTGAATCATAGGGAACTCAACTAGTAGCCATTAGCTTGTTCTGTCTAGGGGGCTCTAATGGGGCCATTGTATCGAAAAAGCTCTATTCTTCAGGGCACCCAGGGCTGTTCTTTCACCTCTGTAGGCCCAAAGCTTTAAGTAGTGCAATGAGCTGACAACTCTGTTGTGGGCCCTCTATGAAACACTCAGAGCAGGACAGGCAAGCTGACTGCCACTAGGGCAGCTGGTGATTCCTAGACAGCCACACACGTAATACCTCGTCCCTCGCGGATTTCCTGCATCAAAGGGCCTAGACTCAGAATCATGAGCACCCTTACCCATCTTCCACCCAGGGCATTGTGAGCCTAAGCCTGGAGGTCCCATCCTCCTTTCTCCCTTTCAAGAAGCCCCTCTAGGTGTCCTTAATCCATCACCACTTCATCTCTCCTGAATTCTTAATTTTTCCTTGTGCCAGTACTAGGGATGGAACTTGGGGCCTGGGTGTGTCACTTAGCTTTTTTGCCCAAGGCTTGCACAGACAACCCCCCCTTTTGTTCCTGCACCAACTCCCTGGGATAGAGCAGAGCTGCTTTAGCCCAGTAAAGGAGCTATATGTATAAGGAATACTTTACAAAGGGACACCTTAGAGAAGGGAAGGAGCAGACACCCCAGGACAGAATGGAATGGGCCTGAGGTGGCAGGAGAGAACTTAAAAGCCCAAATGAGAATATTTGGAACCTAGTCTTCTGCTGCTATTCAAAGCTGGCAATACTGCCAGGTGCCAAGGGCTGATGCCTGTAATCCTAGCCACTTAGGAGGCTGAGATCCGAGTATCCCAGTTTGATGCCACTGCAGGCAGGAAAGTCTGTGAGACTCATCTCCAATTAAACACCAGAAAACTGGAAGCGGCTTAAAGAAGTACAGCGCCAGCCTAGAGCACAAAGCTCAGGGTCAGCACCCATGCCCTGAGTTCAAGCCTTATGATCAATTAAAAAAAAAAAAGATGGGCAGTGTAGATCTTGGTACTCCAGGGTCACTGAGCTCCCATACACAGCATTCTTCTCAAGTGGCTTGGGAGAGATGTGCTCTAGATGACTTTACTGATGAGGCTGGTTGTCTAGCCCACGGTGAGACAGACACCAAGAGCACTTTTGCCCCAACCCTGTGCTTGGAATGGCAGCAGGTTCTGGCCAGTGCCTGCAACTATGGCCAGGAAGCTTTTGCTCATTACTTGGAGAAGTAGGGCCAAGAAAGGACATTGACTTTGATGGCAGCCAGAAGACTTCAGGCTAGCCTCTCACTGGCACCATATCCACCCCAGGAATCCCAGTCCAGAGTATCCACCACCTCTAGAGCCAGGCAGCCATGTACAGCTTTCTGGGTTCTCCGCCCCTCCTGTTTTGCTTGTCCTGGTTGATACTAGGCTATGACCTAGTATCCCGTAGCCTGTGTGCCTGGCAGCCACAAGGGCCTCTCTTCCACCCCCAGGAAAAGGGTTTGGCTGGAACAGACTCAGCTTCTGTTAAGCCTGATCACTAACTAGGGGAGTTCCAGCTGCTCCGATCTGTGTTCTCAGTCTCAGATGGCCTTCTAACTTACTTCCCATTGGCCTAGGTAACTGAGTTCTTGGTGCCAATTGGCTGTTCTTTGGTCTTGATTCTACCTCTAATGGTTGCCCTAGAAACCAAGCACATGGGCAACAAAATACAAAAGCCTCAGCCCAGGCTCTCCAGGGCAAGTATTATGTAGCTCTGATGCCTGCCTGCCTGTACTGCAACCCATTCAGATCCCATCTCCAGCCTGGCTCAAATTCTGGTGTTGACTTCAGGGGGATTGCAGAGAAACTTCAAAGCCTATGGCTGCAGGCTGAGCTAACCACAGAGGAAGGAAACAAGAACAATGTCATGAGTTCTCACAGTAGTGCCTCAGTGACATGAACTCGGGAGAGGACAGTGCCGAGGTCCTCATCCTGCAGATTTGCTTCCTACTGAAGCCTCCCTCTGAATTTGAGACACGGACTCTGATCCCAGGTCCTGCAAAACTTCCAGCCCCGTAGTAAGGCCAAGACAAGCTTGCCAGAGTAGAGGGGCTGGGGCTATACTCCCTTCTACTTGTCAGCAAACAAATATCACCTAGGAAGCTTTAAAAACACACTATGGCAGGGTTGAAGCCTCCAACTGACAAAATCAGACTAAGGGCAATCTATGGGCTAGACAAGAACATAAATTTGGAATAGTTGCAGCAAGTGACAGCAGTATGGATCTGATACAATGAAGAATGGCAGGGGAAGATAAAGTGTGAGCCATTTAAATTAGCAAACCAGTGCTCTCAGAACCACTGTATCTAACACAGCATAGCCATGGCTTGGGTAACTGCTGGTTTGTGAGTTCTGGGCCAGTAATCTACCTGTTCTGGTATTCACTGAACCCAGTTAGTAATTTTAAAAGAATTGTGTGTGTATGCTAATATTGGGACTTTATCTTGGTCTGTTACTCAGGGCTGGCATTCTACTACTTAAGCCATAGTCCCACTTCTGGCTTTTAGAGGGTTAGTTGGAGATTAGAGTCTCACAAACTTTCTTGTTCAGGCTGGCTTCGAACCACAGTCAGGTCTCTTGAATAGCCACGGTTACAGGCATAAACTACCAATACCTGGCTCAGTTTTTCTTTTTATTGACCTAAAAGTTGATGTTGGGAAACAAAACCTTCAACATTGTAGACTAGAGTACAACCACAAATACTCACTAAATGAGGAGAAAAATAACCATCTTCACTTCTGGACCAAAACACTTGGGTACTCTTACACTTAGTTCTTCCTGGCTACATGTTCAGCCATGCACTGAGAGGAGTGCTCAGTGAGAGGGGCTCTTCCTCTTGCCTCCCTCTGAAACATGCTGTCACCATCCCCAACATATCACAGCTCTTAATGTGTGTTCTGATCAGCTACACAAAGATCTTAAAAGTGCCTGCCTCTGAGGGTTGTGAGGATTGAGACTGGTAGCCAGATAGAGCAATGGCTATGAAACACCTTGTGGTGTTAGTGGAGGTCAGGGGCTCCCTCTTCTGGCAACTTGGAAATCTTGATGGGGGCAGCCTTTTATTCCCTAGCTGAACTGAGTTGAGCTGAAATGAAGCCAGTGTCTAGCTGATAGGGCAATTTTTGGTATCTACAAACCTCATTCTTGCTCCCACACCATGTAAGGTAGGTACACAGAACAAATTCTGAGGCAGCTAGGGATCTGAGAAAGGGAGAGAACATGCTAAACATTTTAGGGTTACCTCTCCCAGGTCCCAGGACAGTGACTAGGGCTCTAATCCCTGCTTTACAGATACATGTTCTGGTGGTAACTAGCAGACCATGTCTGATAGTCACTATTCTTGGGGATACCTCAAAGGTGGTACTGGGGTAGGAAGCAACCTGGCTCAGTGGCAGGGTCACAGTTCTTGAGAGGTTTTCCATTCCTTCTGATTCCTGGATAGATTGTAAACTGTTTCTGCATTTGCTTTTTTTTTTGTTGTTGTTAGTCATGGGGCCTGGGCACTGTCCCTGAGCTCTTTAGCTCAAGGGGAACACTCTACCATTTGAGCTACAGCGCCACTTCCGGTTTTCTAATGGTTTATTGGAGATAAGAGTCTCACTGGCTTTCTTGCCCAGGCTGGCTTTGAACGCGGATCCTCAGATCTCAGCTTCCTGAATAGCTAGGATTACAGGCATGAGCCACTGGCACCCAGCTT